ACATCCATGTGGTATGGGGCCCGAAATCCCAAGGCTGCAATTTGATTCTAAGGCAAGTCCTTGAGATTTTGTCATTAAGTGATATTGTGATGAATACCATTTATGTCATGAGAATGTCTCGTGGCTATTATGGCAACGCACTCGCCTCATTTACTGAGTGTCCGTGATTCAGTCCTCAACACGGGTGGAAACGTTGGGTATGTCTCCTTTCACCTGCTGTCCCTATTCACTTAGCAGTAAGTAGGTATCTGTGTTAGTCAGCTGGTGTGGGTCGCATCGTGAGGGGGGGGGGCATCGTGAGGGGGGGGCATCGTGAGGGGGGGCATCGTGAGGGGGGGGGTTACATCTTAGGTCGGGCTGGGCGTTGCAGTGAGGTGAGGTGGGATAACAACTTTTAGCCTGTAAAATTGATGTGTAAAAAAAAAAGCCATGGCTCACCAAATGGATTTTGTGTCTTCCTTGTAAATGCTGCTAATAATAAAATGTTTATTTTGTATATACAAGTGTTAAGTATGTCCTGGTTTGTCACAACCATCCATGATCCTGTTTGCCTATGATACCTGTAGAGATGTATGGTCACAGGAGGTAAGTTGTACACATTATTATTATTATTATTATTATTATTATTATTATTATTATTATTATTATTATTATTATTATTATTATTATTATGCATTGCCTAATAAACATAACACTAGACAAAAAAACAGTGAACATAAAAGAGACCAGTAATATATAGTTGGTGAACCTGAGAAGTTCAAAAGGGCTGGTTATGATTTTGTAGAAGTTTGGATTCTACCGAGAATTCCTTTCTTTAGATCAGGGAAGATAAGATGTTTATGTTCCTTTACGAAGCTATACTCTCTTGCGGAGAGTATAGCCTCGTGCATATTTACAGCTGGCCTTCCAGCCACCTGTAAATATGCACAGACAATATAAACAATTTCGTGTTTACCTGGAGGGTTTATTTGGAGGGTTTACTTCGAGGGTTTGCCTGGAGGGTTTACTTGAAGGGTATTCCTGGGATCAACGCCCCCAAGGCCCGGTCCACGACCAGCATATTAATATTTGCTGAGATTATCACATCATGTATAGAAATAGTGTGTTTAATTGTCTATGTTTTATGAGCAAATAATTTTGTTTTAATTATTCACAGGAATGATGTAACCTTAAAATTACACATTTAAGTATATTGTTGTTTCTATGCTCCTTTACTTTGACAATATTAATAATAATCTTTATTTCTACAACGTATACAGACCATAGCTGACAACAGTGACGTATCACTATATAGAAAGCCGCTTGTTATGCTGAGCATTTCAGGCAAATTAGGTCAATTTTGTCCCCAGGATGCGACCCACTCCACTCGACTAACTCCCAGGTGAATACGAACAGCAGGTGTCGTAAGGAAACACATCCTAATGTTTCAATCCGTACCGGGGATCGAACCACGGACCTCAATGTGTGACCTGAGTACACTAGCAAACTAAAACATTGTAGAAATATATCACGGTTTTTTTTGTAAGATAAGAGATAAGATTTCGTTCGGATTTTTAACCCCGGAGGGTTAGCCACCCAGGATAACCCATGAAAGCCAGTGCGTCATCGAGGACTGTCTAACTTATTTCCATTGGGGTCCTTAATCTTGTCCCCCAGGATGCGACCCACACCAGTCGACTAACACCCAGGTACCTATGTGCTGCTAGGTGAACAGGACAACAGGTGTAAGGAAACGTGTCTTAATGTTTCCACCCGTCGGGAATCGAACCCGGGCCCTCCGTGTGTGAAGCGGGAGCTTTAGCCACCAGGCCACCGGGCCAACGTTGCTAGAGACGTAAGGCATTTGTGAATAGTTTTAATTTTTCTCTTAGATACGTTAGGTAATTTATGGTTATACTCCCTTACTTCTCTTCTGCATTTTGTTCAATTAGGAAGGAAAATCCTGTGTCATAAACCTACTGGAGTTTTATGACAAGGTGACAGAAGTAAGACACGAGAGAGAGGGGTGGTTAGACTGCATTTTCTTGGACTGCAAGAAGGCCTTCGACACAGTTCTTCACAAGAGGCTAATGCAAAGGCTAGAGGATCAGGCACACATAACAGGAAAGGCACTGCAATGGATCAGAGAATATCTGACAAGGAGGCAACAACGAGTCATGGTACATGACGAGGTGTCAGAGTGGGCGCCTGTGACAAGTGGGGTTCCACAGGGGTCAGTCCTAGGACCTGTGCTGTTTTTGGTATATGTGAATGACATAACGAAAGGGATAGACTCAGAAGTATCCTTGTTTGCAGATGATGTGAAGTTAATGAGGAGAATTAAGTCGGTCGAGGATCAGGCAGAACTACAAAGGGACCTGGACAGACTACAAGCCTGGTCCAACAACTAGCTCCTTGAATTTAACCCTGCCAAATGCAAAGTCGTGAAGATCGGGGAAGGGCAAAGAAGACCGCAGATAGAGTATAGTCTAGGTGGCCAAAGACTGCAAACCTCGCTCAAGGAAAAAGATCTTGGGGTGAGTATAACACCGAGCACATCTCTTGAGGCGCACATCAATCAGATAACTGCTGCAGCATACGGGCGTCTGGCAAACCTGAGGATAGCGTTTCGATACCTCAGTAAGGAATCGTTCAAGACTCTGTACACCATATACGTCAGGTCCATACTGGAGTATGCAGCACCAGTTTGGAAACCACACCTGGTCAAGCACGTCAAGAAATTAGAGAAAGTGCAAAGGTTTGCAACAAAATTAGTCCTAAAGCTACTGGCGACCTCAGCTCGCATACTGTTTCCTTACGCCTGCTGTCTCTGTTAACCTAGCAGTAAGTAGGTACCTGGTGTGGGTCGCATCCTGGGGAGAGGATTAAAGAGTCCTAATGGAAATAAACCAGACATTCTGATGACATGGCTTTGCTGGGTTATCATGGGTCACTAACCCTCCGGGTTAATAATCTAAACAAAATCATCTCTGTCAGTGTTAAAATTGCGCTAACTTAATAAAATATAAATATTCATCAGTACTCGTAAAAATCGAAGTCCGAAGTAAAACGCCACATGACCATTAATAACAATTTATTTTCAGTTTTACTGATAATTATGACTATGATGAGTAATTCTCCCTTATTATCAACACACTAAAAAACAAGGCAGGAGATTTAAATACCTTACCACCCTTTATATACAAAAAAGCGTCACAAGTACTATCACCAATCATTGCAAGACTCTTTAACAAATCCATTGAATCCTCCACCTTCCCTACAGTTCTCAAAATAGCGAGGGTCACCCCGATCCATAAAGGAGGAGACCAAACAGAGTTGAATAACTATAGGCCAATATCCAACTTACACCCTCTCTCTAAAATCTTCGAAAAATTAATTCATAAGCTAATCTATTCCTACCTCATCTCCCACAACATACTCAACCCCTGTCAGTTTGGGTTCAGGCCTAATAAAAATACTAATGATGCTATTATACACATGCTAGAACAAATATACACTGCACAAGAGAAAAAAGAAGTCCCACTGGGGATCTTCATTGATTTACGTAAAGCTTTTGATACAGTTGACCATGATTTGCTCCACATAAAATTGTCGCACTATGGTATAAGAGGGCACTCCCTCAACTACCTAAGTCATACCTCAGCAACAAGCCAATATGTGTACACAAATAGTAGCAAACTCTTCTGCACAACCAATTGCAATTGGTGTCCCACAGGGAAGTGTCCTTGGCCCTCTTCTCTTTCTCGTTTACATAAATGACCTACTAAATGCACCGCAACTACTCAAACCCACACAATTTGCAGATGACACTACATACGTCTTCTCTCACCCAAGCCCAGTCATGCTAGCCAATACTGTGAATACCCAATTACAGAAAATATCTACCTGGGTAATGACTAACAAACTTACTCTCAACATTGACAAAACGTACTTCATTCATTTTGGAAACAGCTACAGATGTCCCTCTTAACATAATGATAAACGGATCACTTATCACAAAGCTCACAGAGGGAAATTTCTTAGGAATCCACCTTGATAACAGACTCAAACTTCAAACACATGTACAACAAATTTCCAAGAAATTTTCCAAGACCGTAGGCATACTATCGAAGATACGGTACTATGTTCCACAGTCAGCCCTCCTGGCCCTATATCACTCACTTATTTACCCCTATCTCACCTATGGAATTTGTGCATGGGGCTCAATAACAATAAACCATCTCAGACCATTAATTACCCAACAAAAGGCTGCAGTCAGAATAACAAATTCCCACTACACGCAGGGAGTGTCCTGCGTGTACCTACTACACACATAGAACACTTAACTCTGATATAAACCCTCCCCTCGAACGTCTCCTTACCAACCTCAACAGAACACATGACCATAACACAAGACACAGATCACTCTTTGATGTTCCTCGTGTCCATCTCACACTATGTAAAAACTCAACGCACATAAAAGGCCCAAAAATCTGGAATTCATTACCTGTGAATATAAAAGAAACACTGTTTATCAATTCAAGTCTCTTCTTAAAAATCACTTACTCACCCACAACTAAATAGATACTGAATAATTGTATCTCATAAATGTTTAACCTGTAACCCTATCAAACTTTGTGTTTTTTTAATTAAATTACGTAACAGAATACTCCATTCTACTGAATGCTCAGCAACATAGTCAATGATCATATGACCTGTCTTTGAAATACTCAGTTGTGCTTAATTGTTATTTGTTTACTACAATTTTTACCACTGAATATATCATTGCTTAGTTAATCTTAAGTTAATTTTAAACCTGCCCATAATGCTCTGCATACAAGGGACTTTTGGGATGTTACACTTAACCACTGTATTTCTTTGTACATCTATGTATCATGTCCAAATTAATAATAAATAAATAAATAATTTGTTGGGCAAGAGATGTTTTCCGAGTGAGCGGCGGCAGCCTTTGGGGGGGGGGGTTATGGGGCGACTAGCGGGGTGCTGGAGCCGTCAGTGGCTGAGTAGCAGTTGACTGTGGGAGTCTTGCTGCGCTGCTCTGGTGTTACCCCTGAAAGAAATTGTATAAACCTTTGTGTAGAGAGACTCCGGTTATAAACAGAAAAGGTCTACGTGATTCTGGGTGTTTCCAAAGAATTTTAGTGGTCAAAGTGCGCGAATAATGTGTGTGTTGATGGTGTAGAGTCAGTTTAGTGGAGGGTAAGCAGTCGATATTAGCATCATGGAGGTGATACAGACGTTGGATCGTGACTGTTCTGCTCTGGCTGGTCTCTTCCAAATGGTCATCAACGACATGAAGGTTTGTGGATATACTTCTGCCAGTTTAGGAGTGCTGCTGCTAGATACAATTCAGTGGTATTGATTTACTTTGGTGTATTAGATTACACTGGCACATGACTTGGCATGGAGCCGTCAATAGTGGGCGGGGGGGGGGGGAGGCTAGGCCTACGGATGCGTTGCCACGCCTACCACACCATCCTTCACACTGCTTCTACAACCTTGTAATGCAATTTTTATTGTATGCTACACACTTTTTACACTGTGTACTTGTAATTTTGTTTGAGGAATGTAGTGAAGTGCTCCAACCTTTGAGTTCAATCCTGACAAATGTTATTGATTTTTACCATCAGGTGGACAACTAGTAGTTTCCTATTTTGCTTAGTGTGGAATATTGTGATTGCTATCTGTCCTCTTAGTTTCAAAGTACAAACACTTCAGAGTACAAACACTACACACGTCATGTACATTCTGGTTGATCAAACAATTATCGATGGCTCTTAATAGTGGGTTTAACCGTGCACTTAATTGTTTGCAAAATTAGTGCTGACTGTGTCGTAGTTGGTATGTAAGGGACAGTATTGGTAATGTGATTTCCTGTTTTCAAAATTAGTGTTGATGAGGTGGAGGGGTTAGGCTGTTATTGAAGAAATAATAATTTAATTTTGATGTTTTATTCAAATTTTACGTAGGTGGTTTGCAGTAAGTAGTTGAAAATGTGAAGAGTTGATTGGATAGCTGTTTATAAGAAGTGCAAGAAATTCATACTATATAAATATATTTTCTTTAGGTACATATAAGGAAATTATAGGTTCATGGCTTGTAGATCAATGGTAGCTCATTTGGCTAAAAACCGAAGGACCTGGGTTCACTCTCAGTAATAGAGACGTATTGACAGCACTTTAAACCTGTTGCCCCTGTTAATCTAGCTGTAAATATGTTCCTAGATGTTAACATTCTTGTAGATTACATCCTGGGAAGGAATGAAAGCTCTTCTCCAATAAGTCTCGCCGATTGGTTTACATGTTTTAATAGTCCTCTTGGTGTTAATATTGGAAGTAAATCTAATATGAACAATTGAAAAAGTGCTAGGTATTGGTGTTGACTGATGAACAGGGGTCATGTAGCCTTAAGTGTAATAAGCTGATAGAATTACCGACAATATTAGGTAAAAAATTTGTAACGTGCTGCTGTTGAAATATTTTGTGGAAACGTTGCGCTCTCCAGGAGCTTCACAAAGCTCCTGGAGAGTGACGAAGCTTCTGGAGAATGGAACATGTCACAATAAAAGGTCTTGTTAGTTTCGCATATCCGTTTTACCTGACTCTCGTAAAGTCCACGGGAAAAAGTTATGTAAATTGTTTACTTAGGTGATAATGGACATAAATATGGATATTATTTATCGCGTAAATTCCTTTTTAAAGTATGTGTTGTACTGGAAAGTTATATTTTGGACAAATGTCTAATCTTTGTTTTAATAAAAATTAAATTTAGTAATGTAATCCAGCCTATTCCAACCAAACCTAACACAGATCAGCCGTTAAACTGTCGGTTAGGCTGGGTAATATTAAGTCATATAAAAAAGGTCTTTAATCATAAGCACTAATTTAAATATTTCTTTTGCACAAAGCAATCTGGAGAATTTACAGACCTTGATAAAAACACACTCGGTCGTAAAGTAAACATTGACCAAAGTTTTATGATTCATGAAATTTAGGGAAAATGCTTCTTTGGCCAAAGTAAATATTGTCAAAATAAGTGACAAGGTAAGCGCTGACGCAGTGTTACTTCTCTTCCAATATCAACAGGTTAATCACCTATTCTAATTAGGGTAAGTAGTATGTTTATTTTCACATGCTGTAATGCGTCAGTTTCTGCACGATTTGAACTGCAGTTAGTCTGTATTTGCGTATAGTTAATCACAAATACCGAAATTTAAGTAAATGGGCTGCTTACGTCTGGTAGCGCTGGAGATATTGTCGCTACTTTGGTAGGTACAGTAGCATCCCCACGATCCAACTTAGAGACCAGGATGTGTGATCAGTACCCATGACCCGTCCTTCAAATGCACTTAATTTTCTAAAGTATGTACTCTTGTCTGTTTTTGAACACTGTAACCAGAGATCGTAATGAAATAGTTTAGGTTACATAAACCTATTTTTTTTTTTTAACACCGGCTGTCTCCCACCGAGGTGGGATGACCCGACAAAGAAAACGTTTTTGTCACTCATTCAGTTACTGGGCAGAAGGGCACCACCCCACCCCTCCAGAGTGTAGGCATTATATCTCCCATCTCCAGAACTCAAGCCCGGCTAACTGGTTTTCCAGAATCCTTTCAGAAATGTTACCTTGCTCACAATCCAACACTCCACTCACTCTCAACACGTTCACACAAGTTGTTGGATGTCCAAGCCCCTAGCACTCAAACCCTTATTTACCCCCTCAACCTTTCCTGGGGGACGAAACATCATGGTAAAATACCATAACCCATATTTTGCCTTATTTACATAGTTGGTATAGTATATCACTGTATGACTAAGGACGAGCTTACCTGGAGTCTCTTCCAGAGGTCATCGGCCCCGCGACCCGGTCCTACACACGGGCTTCTGGTTGCTGGCCTCATCGATCAAACTGCTGGTACCCACCGCTCGCAGTCAAACGAATGCATCACAACCTAGTTAACTGTTTTGAGGGATTCGTCGAGTTCTGTCTTTAAGACAACTAGGAGTTTGTTGGCAATTCCCCTTATGGATGAAAGTAGGGTGTTGAAGAGTCGTGGTCCCTTTACACTTACTGAGTTCTCTGTGTACTCACTGCTCCCCTGCTTTTCTTTGGAGGTATCCTGCATCGTCTACCAAACCTCTTGTATTCATAAATAGTAATTTCGGTGTGCAAGTTTGGGATCAATCCCTCCAGTATATTTCTCGCCTTCCTGCCTTGAGTACAGTCCAAGTGCTCCCAGTAATTAAGCTGCTTGACTTGAGTTTTTTAAAAGGTGTGAAGGGCTGGTCGAAAATTTTGTTTGGATTATGAACGTATTTTAAGCTGTCATCAGACTGGGTTATTTCCATTGTGATTCTTTCATCTGTCCCCGGATGTGACCCACACTAGTCTAACACCCAGGTACCTACTGCTAGATGGACAGAAGCAGCAGTGTAAGGAAACCTACTTAACTCATTCACCCGGGACTCGCCACCCCGGCCTCTGTGTTCAACTGAGACCGCTACCACATGAGCCACGAGTTCACGAGCCACATACTCCACCCTTGTGTAATTCTTGATAAGTTTGCTGATTTGAACGTTGCCTAGACTTGCTCAGATATGGTGCTGTCAGACGTGTCAAGACATTTTTTTAATTAGCTTTTCTGTAGTCGTGTGTGTTCTTGAGTGGCATGCAGTCTAGCACACATAAAATGCTTTCCTAAATGCCCGAAATACAGAAATTGAAGTTTGGGATTGTGTGAAAACACTAGCGTTATAAAATTAGGATATGTTGTTGAACGGGAGATGGGTGGGCAGGATTGTTAGGTGGAGCTTCACGAAGCTTATTCAAACTCAGCTCTGATGTAATGGGTAACCTAACGTAAGCACTTTACCCTTCTAATAATGATTCGGCTCCGTGAAGTTTCATGCATTCAGGAAATGGAGAAAAATTCCTAAGGGTTACCCTTGAGAAAGTTGCTAGCCGCTGTCTAGTTGACAGAACCTGCTGTCTCTTAACACAGCTTCTTTGATTTATTTAAATTTACCAATGTTTCCTGCGGACCCTAATTTTTTTTTCTTTTCTGGTTCTCAACTCTTGCATTTAATATTTTGAAAAGAAATATAAATATAAAAACCAGTAATTAGCGGGGTTTTTTCGTACACCGATCTACACTCTGTGAACCACTTTTATGTATTTTCCTTGAGGCACCTTGATGTGCAAGATAATTACATGTGTAAAATCCATTGTAGAATATTTTTACGACCAGCAGGTAGAAAAAGGTTCTGGCAGAAAGGGGAGGAAGATCAACTTTGGCATTATGGATCCATATCCAGTAAGTAAATCTTTATCAGACGTATTTATTCCATAAGGCAGAAAGTTATTTCGAAATCTTAATAACACGATTGTAAAAAAAAAAAAAAATAGGTGGTGGTCAAAATCATGGATAACGAGTCCTAAAATTAGGAGGCCAGCATGTTGACCACCGTACTAAGCTGGCCTAATAAAACTTATCCAGCTAAGCATATTTCTATACAACCTAGGGAGGTTAGCATTGGTTCCAGCTAGGTATATTTCTGTAACAGGAAAACTGGACAATTTCCTCCACTAAGTGCCGGATCATCTAGGCAGTGACTGATATGTGGACCGGCAGGCAAGCACCAGAAAAGCCTGGCCCATGGCCGGGCTTTAAGAGAAGTAAAACCTCGAGAAAATCAAAGGTTTATTCAAGGTAAAGGTCCACGAGTCCACTCTGTGACTACTACGCAGGATTTTACAGATAAATTAGGTTTCAGAAATATTCCTAGATGAATAAATCTTGTTATGCTGGCTTAATACAGTGGTTAGTGCACTAACCTGCTAGTTAAATTTAGAACTGGCTCGCCGTGGGTTCCAACCCACCCATTTTTCCCGAAATAATGTGCATCGTATGGGCTTTCTAATTTATATATTTTGTAAATGCAGTGATTGGAAATAATCTAAATTTGTTATTTACGCAGCTTTCAGCTCAGTATTTACAATTAAAAATTACATTGACAAATCAGCATAGGAAGTCAGAAAATTTCTTGTAGAAAACTCAAAATGAGCACATTTAGCTGCCAGGCAAAAATACAAACGGTGAACATAACGGAGTTGATAAATGACAATTGGGTATCTTTATTCTGGAAACTTGTCGCCAGCCAGTGGCTTCAGTCCAATACAAACAGTGGTGGACTGAAAAAGCCACTGGCTAGGGAAACTTTTCCGTTCTAAAACATTTATAAATAGCGAGGGGTTAGTGTGTGTACTGACAGATATGTTGATTTACTCGATGTCTGCTTC